ATGGTCCTTTCACAGTCAAACTGAATTTTAGTCAAGGTGAAAGTAAGTATTTCACTGCTAAAACAAAGACAAGCTGGAGTGGCAAATACTTTTCTTGAAAATACTGTCTGTGTAACTGATTTACTGTTTGCAAAAGGCATGGAAAATTATACACTGTCATCCAGCCCTTAGGTATCCATAGGGATAATAGCCCTCTACGGCACCCTTACCTTTAGAAAGGAGTTTCCTAAAGCGCTGAGTGCCTATTAGCTGCTGCTCAGGTGTACTGGAGAAGATCATTTGAGTCATGTCTTCAGAGATCACCCCACCCTGTACAGCACAGAGAAGATTTGATTTAACACAAACAAAATGCTGCCACATCCAATTTCACAAGTATAATAAAATACAGTCCTGCATTTCGATGGACAGCAGGGATATTTTTGTGTCTGTTCTTACCGTGAGTGGATCCATGTTGTTAGCCTGGGACTCCAGGTAGCCACTATCTGCCATCCCATCATCCTCTGGGAGGCCATCATCTTCCACTGTGGCAACATTCCTCCTCTTAAAAAGCTACAACAGCATAATATATATATCAATAATTTTAGGCCACAATATCACATATTAAAACTCATTCTTTAATGGGTAGGTCTAAATTACTACCTCCACTTTTTGCTCACCTGTTCATCCTTTTTCTGTTTGCGTAGCTGTAGGCCTTCCTCTTCCCTCCTTCTTCTCATTTCATCTGTGTTGAGGGACTTGTTTTTGTAGCTCTTAAGTCGTGCATTGTCCTTACCCTGACTCATTGTGTAGCCTAGGGATATGCAGAAACGTATGTTATCTAGACAAACTTAAATAAGGTTTGCATACAAACTTTTAATTTCCCGTTCAGGAGCTGAATATTGCGCTGACAGATGGCCAAATCCTAGTGTACCTCACCGATTGACAATGCATCAATATATGCATCTTTAGCCTAAGTGTATTAGAGTTAGCTGAAAGCAGGGCACCCTTCACTAATTTTCAGCATGTGTCAATTATAACAATTACCAAAACATTCATTGACTATAACTAACTGAGTAACTAATGCAAAACGACCGTATGTAAGCGTCAACTGTAGTTTACATAGCTAAATAAGGTATCATATTTTCTTCAAACACAGCTCAACAAAATAGGGCATCTAAGGATACTAGCTAGCTAACGATAGCAGGTTAGCTTCCTGTGTCTTGACTTAATAATAACCAACCGAACATATCATTATCTAATTATCAGGTGCGATGCTTCCTTATCGATTCACAAACGAGCAAAGCACAGCACAATATTAAATTAGTCAAGCAAAAGGACACAGGATGGCAACACTTTGTCAGCTAGCTAATGTCATAGCCGCTGTTAGCACAATCTACTGCCGAGAGCTAGCTAGCTAACAGGGGCTAGCTGTATTAGCGAACGTTGGCTCTGTTTTGTAACGTTAGCTCACGCGACAACCCAGTGTCTTTCAAATGTTGCTGAAATTGGGAATTAAATTAGCGTCAGATTGTAAGGACTCAGTAGGAATCGACTCCTACATACATGTATTTGTTGTGAACTGACCTGTCAAATTGGGCTCTGTAATCCCCTTGTTATTCACTAGGCCACCGTTTGTACAGCCGTCGCCGGTATGGTACTGCGCATGCGTGATATCAAACCCACCCACCGCAAGACCCCCCCTCACCCCCGTCGATCCTCCGCCCCACCCACGCGAAGCTTCTGCTTTGTAAATGACTGCAAACTAGCCTCCATCTTTTACATAAAATATGCGATACACCATTGACAATATGCAGAATACAATCAACACACATAATTCATATTTGACTCACGAGCTGCGTAGCAATACTGGGTGCAGACTTTATGTCAAGATTCATCCGCCGCAGGAATATACGCAGCATGCGGCAACATCAGTGAAGGGGTCATGGTGAGGGCAGGCACTGGCGTCTAAGGTGACCAACATTTTGATGAGCCATTAACAGTGGACCAGACACATGGGCGCCAGCGGTCCTAAGTTTGATAGGGAAGGGGGGGCTCATCTGTACAGCTACAGACAACAATATATGACGGATGCCCACATGAGCACAACCAGCAGGGATGTCACACACACAAAGCATCATAATAATCTTTATTATAATCATTATAACACCTCCTTTGTTCATTATCATCATATAGCCTAATCTTTAAAGCAATCTACTGTACAGTACACTTATGATCACTACGATGATGGTTATTATTCATTTATTCATTCATTCATCTTCTAACTGCTTCATCCTCTTGAGGGTCGCGGGGGGGCTGGAGCCTATCCCAGCTGACATTGGGCAAGAGGCAGGGTAGACCCTGGACAGTTCGCCAAACTATTGCAGGGCTGACACATAGACACATTGACACCTGCGGACAATTTAGAGTTACCAATTAACCTAGTCCCCAATCTGCATGTCTTTGGACTGTGGGAGGAAGCCGGAGTGCCCGGAGAGAACCCACACTGACACGGGGAGAACATGCAAACTCAGAAGGGCTCCCACACCCGGGATCGAACTGGCAACCCTCTTGCTGTGAGGCGACAGTGCTAACCACCACATCACCGTGCCGCCCATGGTTATTATTAGTAGTAGTTATTATTTTTTTTTTATCATTTTTTTAAACAGTTTTATTATTGTATGCTTACTTCATGTTAGATTTTTTTTGTGCAGGTGATGACTGCTGGCATTCAGGGTCAAATAATGCTTTAACCTTTGTCTGACCCCTCAGCACTTATCACAGCACACACAGGCCACACAAACCTATTTCAAATAACACCCATTTGTCCTCATTTTCCTTCATGTTATTGTGTTGTACATCATAATTTAAGAGCTTTGAGAGCTGGTATAAACATCATCCATAAACTAATATCAAAACCTGTCTACATTCATACTAAAAACCTTGATGCAATGCCATGTTTTATTTCTCTGTGTCACTTCTGAGAACAGGGTCTGTCTGTTGAAATAACTTGTACAATAAAATATATGGTCACTTTTATTTTACGATCACATACATATTTGTTATATATGTATACGGTGCTATATTATATAGTATGTTCTATTATATTTCATAATTTGATGTCATCCCATCTATCTTGCATCTTGTCACTTTTTTTTCTTATTTATTATTAATAATAGTAATAATAAAAATAGTATTCAAATAGTACATAAATAAAATATAACAAATATGAAAATATTTTTTTAAATTATTGTTTATTATTGCATTTACAAAATAAATTAA